CTGTTGGCATTAGATATTCATTCTAAGAATATTAAAAACTGGCAGGGGTGGCCGGGAGTGGTGGCTCACGCCTGTAATCCCAGCACTTTGGAAGGGCAAGGTAGCTGGATCATGAGGTCATGAGATCAAGACCATCCTGACCAATATGGTGAAACCCCGTCTCTACTAAAAAATACAAAAATTAACCGGGCGTGGTGGCACACATCTGTAGTTCCAGCTACTTGGGAGCCTGAGGCAGGAGAACGGCTTTAACCTGGGAGGTGGATGTTGCAGTGAGCTGAGATTGGGCCACTGCACTCCAGACTGGCACCTGGAGACAGAACAAGACTCTGTTTCCAAAAAAAAAAACTGTCAGGGGCAAAAAAATCAGACAGATGAATAAAAGAATAATGAAATAGTGACTTAAAACCACCTATTTAAAAAATTCATATATAGTTTTGTGTGAATCACTATAGAAAATAGTATAATGCAAATCACAGACATTTTGACTTGAGCCATTTAGATAAGACAAGAGAAAAAAAGGAATGCAATCTGTTTTTTCTTTATTTTCACCTATCCAAATAATGTTATTTTTACTTTTGCATTTCTGTGAGTTCAAATACAAGACTACTAAGATTCCAAATAGGAAGGATTCTTAATATGTTATAATACAGCCCAAACTGATCAAATGGAAGCATGTCAGGTCCTAACACTTAGGTGTGATTATTCAAATAATACACCTAGGTCAGCCCATCAAAAATGCAGGCTTAGCCCCTTGGAATGTTTTTAATAAGATATAATGTGATTATCACATAAAATACCACGTCCTGTAAAAAGACTGGATTCAAACAAATAATTGAGAAACAGCATAAATCCACTTTGCCTGTAAGAACTGTAACACTGGCTTTATACAGTAGCAGTTTTTAGAAAGAGCATACTTCTTAAACTTTAGGGTATATCAGAATCACCTGGAGAGCTTGTTTTAAAACACAGATTTCAAGGTCTGACTCCCAGAGAGTCTAATTTTTGTCTACTGCTGCTACTACTGATCCACAAGTCATAGTCTGATGGCACTGACCTAGAATACTATCACAGGAATATTAATGCAGCTAATGCTTCTCATTGTGGTTCACCTGGGATTAATATAGGTGCTTAGCCAGCTATGTGTGCTCTGGATAGGGCAGAGGCTACACGTGGATTTCCTTGATTTGCCAATGGTTTTGTATTTCAGTTGTGAAATTAAAATATTGATGAACTGGGGCCGGGCGCGGTGGCTCACGCCTATAATCCCAGCACTTTGGGAGGCTGAGGCGGGTGGATCACAAGGTCAAGAGATCGAGACCATCCTGGTCAACAAGGTGAAACCCCGTCTCTACTAAAAAAAAAAAAATACAAAAATTAGCTGGGCATAGTGGTGCACACCTGTAGTCCCAGCTACTCGGGAGGCTGAGGCAGAATTGCTTGAACCCAGGAGGCGAAGGTTGCAGTGAGCCAAAATTGTGCCATTGCTCTCCAGTCTGGGTAACAACAGCGAAACTCTGTCTCAAAAAATATATATATATATTGATGAACTTTGAAAGACTTAAAATTTATTTCAAATATTGGCAGAAGGTTTACAATACAGATGGTTTTTTGGCCTTAGGTCAGATATGTTTACTCCACACATGAGGATCTTTGGAAACTTTACCCAAATTACTGTTGCAATTGTTTATTTCAGAACTAGGGCAACCAGATCCACCCTTTGTCTCTTGAGTAGGAGCAGCTTTGTTTTGCAAAGGCAGTGGCTAAAAAGGACCAGACGTTTCCATCAGCTGTTTAGTCATTGTGTTTTTTAGGTGAATTATAGCATTGGACAGTATTTTTCTTTGCAGCTTAAACACTGAGCAAACCCAGACATCCAGAGATGCTAAAATGAAAAATCTGTTTCTCCTTGCTTTGCTGCTTGCCAAGTGAACTCTGTCAGATACCACATCCTATACATCTCAAGTAAACAAAATTACGCTTCATGTGTTGGCAACCTCTGTCACAAACGCTCCTCTGCCTATGGCTTAAATGTATTGCGTTGGAGTGGATTTCACAGTGTATTTAACGTAAGGCAAAGTTATCGTTGTGGGTACTGGCTTTGCCTTACTAACCATGAGGTTTTCCCTTTTTTTTTTTTTTGTATTTATTTATTTCATACAAAATACAAAAGAGATTCTGTAGTTTTTAATAAGCAAAGTGGCTGGCAAACACCCCCTTTGCTGTGGGTAACCAATACCAAACCTCTCTAAGTTGTCTGTCCCAGATAAAGTATCATTAGGAAGATTCATTTCTCCCAGGGATTCCTGTTAGTTTACTTCCAGTTTACTCCCTGACTGTACATTTCTTCCGTTCCCTTAAGATTAAAAATTTTGTATTCTTAATAATTTGTGGGATTTTTTTCACTGAACATTTTTATTGAATGTGAACAAGAATGTAGATTCTTACATATTTTCCCCCAAGAAACCTTATTTTATTTTTCATTTATGTGCAATAACCAATCTGTTTAGAATGAACTGTTGATTGATGCGCAATACTGGTCTGCTTAAAAAGAGCTGTTCATTTATGTGCAATAACGGTCTGTTTAGAAAGAACTGTTCATTTATGCGCAATACTGGTCTCTTACATTATTTTCCACTCTGTGCCTAGTGTTGCTATTTATAATTCCAAATAATGACACATCCCTTCTTACTCTTCCTTTTGATTGTCAGGGTTCGGGTTTATACACAGAAGCAGCACTCACTCTGTGACATCTGTAATCAAATGAGTCCCCAAACACTGCTTCCAATGAAAAGATTCTCAAAGAGACCAGACAATTTTTCCAAAATTAATTCCAAGTGCAGGCATTAAATCCTTCTCTTCTTATCATGCATGAATTTAGATTTTTCTGTAACATGCTCACCTACCTCGTTTGCATATTGCCTTTATAAAAAAGACTAAAGTCTGTCCCACACACCCCTGGAGAATGAGACAACCTCCAGGGCATTAAGGAGAAAGTATCCTTACCAAACACAATTTTTTATCTCTGATTTACATGAATGATCCTTTTTGTGGCTAGAGCAAGCTGTTTAGAATCCAGGCGTTTCTGGGATTGTGACAGTTTAGCTGCATGTTGGAATATCTAGTGGCAAATATTCTAAAAAGATAACCTGTCTTGAGTTCAAGAAGGGAATTGTAGTCTTGTACCTGCTAAGCATTAGAGTGTTGTCAAAGTGCCACTTTTTGATTGAAAAAAAAAAATGCTTCAGGACTTCCATCTTAACTCTGAGGTTATTCTATAATTTATCCCTAGGTGATTTAAGAACAACCCTAGTTCTTCTTAAAGTGTTTACTTCTGGTCTGGCACAACAAATACCTGAAATGAAGGCCAGTAAGTATTTTTTTAAAAAAGGAAAACAATAAAGATGCTTTTGTAGAAAAGATTCAGGTGGCAGAAAGAAAAGTGATGTATCTCAGAGTTATAATTAAGTAAAACCTTATCTTACCATGTTTCTCATTTAAGAGGCATCCTGATGAATGACAATTCACAGAAGCATCGAGAAATTCAAACAACACAAATGCACAATTGTGTATATTTACAAGCTATAGACCTTTAAAATAACATATATGTTTTCTGATTGATTCCTGCTCAAAAGTCTAAGTGTCTTTGTGAACAAAGCTGGCCCTGTATATCAAGCATTTCCAAATGTTTGGCTCAGTTTGTATTATCTCTAAAAATTAATGGGGAGGAGCCCATAGGGAAGGCTGAGTAGTAGCCTGATCTTTTTCACAGATATAGTCAGGAAGTCTAATTTTATAATACCAGGAGGAATTGCTTAGTTTGAGCAAAAGCATTTTAGGAAACACTTGCTTGTGGGTAGTTTGGGTGCTGAGATCTGGCTGTCTACATGCATCTGTCCAGTGAGCAAAATAATGTTTAGGGAAATAATCAGAAACATGATCATTTTATCATAACTGGTTATTTAAATGCATTGTTATAGAACATGTTTCTACTTTTATCATAATCTTTAAATGAACATTGAAATTATATAATCTCAAATATTCCATCCAATTCTAGCTTTTTGAGTTTGATTTTTAAAAATATTTTTTCATTCTCCAAGTTAATTACTACAAGGAAAGTAGCAGGGTAGAAAAAGAGGAATGGAAGGAGTCAATGACTTAGCTCCGTTCTTCACTCACCATATGATACTTTGCATATGGATGGACGTTTTAAAAAATGTCTATTATTTCTTTTATCCCCGACAATGATATAAATTTTAAAAAAACATATTCTAGAAGTCCACCTTCCTTAACATCTCATTTGAAACTTAACACTTTTGCTTTTAAAAAAAATTGTGGCTAGACATAAAAATTTGACCAGCTTTTAACAGAGATTGGTATTCTTCTGTCTTGTGTCTAAAATATACATAGAAAACAGGTCAAAAGGTTAGGAGGAAAACAAATGGGAAATCCTAATTTTGATTTTTAGATGATCAGCAGTAGATTATGTTCTTCAAAGGGATCCAGTTTAGAAACCCATGTGGGCCAGCACTATCCTCCTTAGTGGAAGATTGTATTTGAGTGACCAAGAATTATCTATATATTAACAAATAATACAAAATGACATAAACCAAGTCAAATCCAATAACAAGAAAATTAGAGATTTTCCACTAATGTTCGTATCTTTCAGTCAGAAAAGTTTGTATTTAGAACAATGGGCGAGAAGAAATATATGATTGCTTTGAATGGATTCTACCTCAAATGATGAAAATGTGACAGATATTTTAGACACATCACAGGTAAATACCTCAGAAGAAAGGAAGTTGTTAATGCCAGCTATTTAGACAAGCACAAAATGACATGCATGGACGTAAAGATTATATACAGTTGAATTTTGCCTGCTTAGTGAAAAAGTAAAAATACTTGATGTTCACACATTCACACAGTTTACTGTGTTTATTTGTAAGAAGTTTCCTTCCTTGTTGGATATGTTTTCAAATGGACATTGTATATACTTGTAGGGTGCTGTGATTACACCAACCATGGACCATCCCATGTCAATGCAGCCAGCCAACATGATGGGTCCCCTGACACAGCAGATGAATCACCTTTCGTTGGGCACAACAGGAACGGTGAGTTGGAGAGATTGTTTTGTTTCCTCAAACTTTTTTATAAGCTGTGATACTCTCCATTTTCACTGTCATTATCAGTGAAACTACGTCTGTACCATATTCATTGACTGACACACCTTTCAGGTTTCAGTATGAATAAGCTGCATTCTGCATGTATGCTCAATTCCAGGGCACAAGTACTCACATTGGTGAGGCTAAAGTTCTCTTATGTCACGTTTAAATTTCAGTTACTTCTTGATTTTATGGTACAACATTACCAGATATGATGTCTGATTTTGGAAAGGTGTCCTTTTACATGCACCTGCAGATCGAGACCCTGTGACTTAATACACTCAATCCTGGTTTTCTTTTCCCAGCTGCTTACCAGTTCAGCCACTACATTATTACCAGGTCATATACAGGCAAGGGGCCAAATCTGTGACTGATACTATTAAATCAATAAAGACTAATTGAGAACCTGGTATAATCGAGTTCTTTTAATCCTTCTTTTTGATAAACTGATATAGATGGATGTTGAAAAGAAGGAAGGAAATCTAATGTGCTTGATCTCTTCTTATAGGTTGGGATAGTTTTGACTAGTCATCTTTCTTCTGAGAGAACAAAAGCATGTTGAAAAATGCCTATTGCAGCCTGAATTTTATATTAATGAGGCATTTTAAATCACTGGAAAAACATTATGTTTGATTTTTTTTTAATTCCCCAAATGTTCAAGGAGGCAAAAGTCTAATGCAATCTACAATACTGAAACTCTGTTATTTGCCATTACAGAGAACAATAAACCTACCTGCTTATACAACACCTTCAGTAACGGTTTTATTCTCATGTTAGTGCAGACAGTCTTGTTGTTTGAAAAAATAAAGAAATAAAAATGTATTTTCTTTTGACTGACGCAGCTTAAATATTGTAGAAAGAGCACTGGGCTAGGAGTCAGAAATCCTAGATCTAAATCTTGAGTAAGCCTTGTGGTTTTTTTCAGTTTTGGAGAAAATAATAAATCTAGTCTGAATGTTTTTCTCTATCTAGTTGAAGTATTGAACTCGATTATATATGAGACCCTTTAAGTTTCGATTCTATATTTTTAAGCTTATATATCTTTCAGTCACCACCTCTGTGATTCTTCAGTTATGCTGACTTCATCTCAAAATATCAATATGCAATATGCACACTAGCTGTGTATATGGAACTTTACCCTATAGCAATGGCTTGCTTGCCAAATAAATGTTGTTGTCTCATAGGCTTTTAAGAATATAAGAAGTTTCTGACGTGTCTACTGAGGCTTCACTTATCTGTCCTAAATAGGAAGAAAGTCAATATAATTTAATGGAAAGAGCCACATTCTTTCAATAAAAGAAATTTTAGTTTTATTAACATAAAGTGTCTATCACTAAGGTCTCAGTTGTAGAACCAATAAAAAGCAGTTGATGATACCTTAACCTGTCTGAATGCTTGGACTAGATCAAATGATCTCTTAGGTTTCTGACCTATACTTTCAGAAGTTGTGTTTAAGATATACTTAACTGTATGCTGTGGTATAGCTAATTTTCATCATGGAGATAGAGTTTGAAGATATCATTTTATTGCTTTTAGCAAAGTGTAAGGATTATTTGTCATTATTTTGTGCATTACTAATAAGCAGGTCCTAAGAATAGTATCAGAAGGCCTGCAGTTTCTTACTTTTATTAATACATTGTAGATTTTCCTCCATATCAGCCTTCGTCTCCCTCAGTAATCATAAATTCTGAATGAGTGAAGTAATGTAAGTTTACTATATTGAATGACAATCTGGAATCTGATTAAAGAGAGAATTATAATGCAAAACATAGAAACTCTTTGTAAGTTTTACTCATTTGGTTCAAAAGTAAAGCCAACTGACTTGGCTAAAATTGAAGTTTGCAAACTAGTAAAAATATAAGAGCTAGTTAACTAAGCATATGACTGAATCCTTTAGGAAAATGAAAAATAAGCTAAAAGATATAGAACAGACTCAGAATTATAATAGTTATTGATTCAGTAACATATATTATGATTTTATGTTTGAGCATTTCAACAAGAACACATTTGTAAGGGACCATTACTTTTAGGCAGCTGGTAATAGCCAAATAATTCAATAATAATATATAACACTCTCTCAGAGAGTAAAAGTTTTAAGCATGTGGTTTATTATTAAAACCAAATTTTCTCCCTTTACATTCTTACTAAATAATGCTTAGATACATTATATTTGTATTACTGCTGTTATGGAAAAGTATAAAATTTAGTAAGATTCTGAAGTGGTAGAGAGAAAATAGAATTACTTTGTTGATTCATTTAACAAAATATAATCAAGTGTGGTTGGTGTCCAGAATACTGTTATTTTTTTTTAATTTTAGACTGTCACTTTCATTCTTTGATATACCCTCATAGATTCATTTTATCTGAATTTTGATTGGCATTTGGAGTGGCTATGATTCAGTTGAGTTTGATTTTTAAATCCGATTTTTCCACCTTATTCCATCTTTCTAACATTTTCACTGATGGGGTGGAATCCTGGCATAATGGAAAGATCAATGGGCTTTGTTTTCAAAGTTGAGTTCAAAACGTGGCTTTGCTCCTTTGTTAGTTCCGCATGTTTAGGCAGGTTACTTAACCTCTCCGGACTTTTGCTTTCTCATTTTACAAAATGGGAAAAATAATGCTTGCATCCCAGGGACGCCGTGAGTGTTAATGAAATGACAGTATCAGCATACTTAGATAGTGTGATACCCACTGTGTGCTTCTCAGATGAGCTGCTCATACCCTTTACCTCCAGGAGCTTCGAACTGGTGGGAATCTAGTTTAAGTAGCCAGAAGTATGTAGCACACTGTAAAGTCCATGGCATAACTCACTTACTGTCTCATTTATTTGGCTGCTAACATACTCTTTTAGGGTAGCAAACTCAAAAGCCTGTAGAGTCCAGCCAGGTTATATTAATGAATGAAGTAGATCAGGTTCAAGCAAAACCCCTTGGAAACATATAATCAATTTTTAAATATCTGCCTATATCACAAACATAGTCATGCCATATAAACATATATGATATTGGAGATTATATTTTAGAGAAGATGTATTTCCATGCAATAGTGATACTATCTCTCCTTGAGTTTGGGGCAATAGAAGTGAGATGTGGTGCCTTTGGCAGCCTGAAATATGGATACCTTGTCTGCAAAGGACAGCCACTACTGTATTGGTAGTACAGCTATTGTGATGGCTATTGCCACATGGACATGCAGACCCAGGGTGGTCTCACTTTCCAACTTTTAAAGATAAGCTGAATTCTTGAGCTTTGATGGGAAATTTCTCTATATTTAAATGTTGGACCCAGTTTGTCCCAAGAACTCCCATTTTGTGACTCCTGCCCAAGGCTTCTCTGGCTCTCCTGAAACCTCTCTGGCCATTCCTTCTCTTCCTGCACATATTGGTAAGCCAAAGCTTCATTTTTAACATACTTATTCCGTATGATTTTCACAAGCAATCTCATTCACTCTCATGGTTTTAATGGCTTCCCTGTTGACTCCTAAATCTCAGTCCCCAGTGCTAACCTCATCTAAGAATTTTAGACTCATTTATTTAACTACCTGCTAAGTATCTCCATGTAAATCTCCCTCAGACATCTCAGAGTCAGCACGACCCAAACTAATCTCATGAGCTTTCCAGAGCTTCCTCCCAACTGAAACCTCTTTCTCTGGTATGTTTCTTCTCCCTGTTTCCTTTCAAGCGAATGCCATGACCATTTGCCCTGTAGCCAAGCCATACATCTAGGACCCAATCTAGACCCTCTCTTTCTCCCTCACCATCATACACAATTAGGTTTCGAGTCCCACTGATTTTGTCTCATAGACATTGGTGAAATACATTCTTTCTTCCACATTTCTAGAGTTTCTTCCCTGGAACTCATTTGATTAATGGTAATAGTTCCCTAACTGTTCTTCCTGCTTTCAACGTCAATTTGCTCCAATCCATTTTCTCTACCCTGTTGTCACAGGTAGTCAATCTAAAATTATCTGACTGTGTCTCTCTCCTAACTAAAACATTTCAGATGCTTTCAGACACCTGAGCTCACAGAAATTCTGCAAAACAAGGTGTGAACAGTGACAAGTAAAGATTAATGTAGGAATCTAAACTCTAGAAACAGATGGGTTCCAAGGGCAGAGGAGACAGAGACCCAGTCAATAATCCAGAGAAGGAGGTGATCAGGGCTGATGGAAGTTGGAGCTATATTAGAATTTTCTGTTTTTAGAAGGGGGATCTTGGCCACAGGCTTAGTCCCACTCTTCTTTTTTAAGTCCCTGGCTAAAGGAATTATTCTAGGCCAAAACGTCTTTTTCCTTTTCTTAAAAGTAGATATAATTTGTCTCCCATGACCTCAAATTTTGAAATGAATGCCATGTAGTTTAATTAACCTTTCCCTACTGTTTGCCACCTCAAATGTTTATTGTTCAATTCTCTATTTTTAAACTAGGCAGAATCTGCAGACCTCAAAAAAAAAAAAAAAAAAAAAAAAAAAAGCATTTTCTGCAAGCAGTGTAACTGTTTTACTTCAGGGCTCTTCTGACCCTGAAGGACTTTCCTAGCTTTTCTACTTTTGTTTATTTTTTTTGTCACGGTATTCCCTTGATGGAACCAAAGCCCCATTATCCATAACTTCTTATCACTTTATTGTAAGCTTTAGCAGAAACCACTGGAGATTTTACTGTGTTATGAGAACCTCCAAATTGCATGACAATCTTGTTTTACAAGTTTCTTATCTCCTTTTCATTTGTTCAGTTGCTGGTCACCAGTGGCTTACGATGTCACCAGAATCTGTTGGAAGAAATACAAAGTTTTTGTTCTGCAGGCTTTGTGTCTGCAGTTTGATTAGTGTTCTCCACGCCACCAGTGATTTGTGATATCATCGAATTCCCACAGTGTAACCATAGTCACCCACAGAAATAACCTTGTAATTGTACTCCCATTTATTCCCCACAGTTCTCTAGTGTTTTTCAACCACACCACTCCTTGACTGCTCTGAAATTTTGATGGTATCAGGTCAAAATCCTCAATTATTCACTTTGTTTAGACATTGTGCTTTTTTTCTGTTATTAGGGATGAATATAAATATCAAGATAGAGTTTTAAAAAGCTAACAGGATGTTAAATGGACTCTGATTAGGAAGCAGTATCATAAACGGTAATGAGTACATCTCTTACAATAGGTTTTAGGGAAAAGATTAATTAGTTTAAAACACTCACAAAAGAGAAAATACATCTAAAAAGATAATTGTTTTTAAAAATTGGTTTAGTCTTATTGTAAAATGAAAGACCTTCAGAGGGAGTCTTATACATAATAAATGAACTGGCATTAAGTGAAAGTCTAGTTGTATGAGTGTGTATTTGTAAATATTACACTTTTGCTGTTTAAAGAAATGAATTCTGAGAGCCAGGCATGGTAGCTCATGCCTGTAATCCCAGCACTTTGGGAGGCTGAGGTGGGTGGATCATGAGGTCAGGAGTTTGAGACCAGCCTGGCTAACATGGTAAAACTTCGTCTCTACTAAAAATACAAAAATTAGCCGGGCATGGTGGCAGGTGCCTGTAATCCCAGCTACCTGGGAGGCTGAGGCAGGAGAATCACTTGAACTGGGGAGGCAGAGGTTGCAGTGAGCTGAGATGGTGCTATTGCACTCCAGCCTGGGCAACAGAAGGAGACTCTGACTCAAGAAAAAATAAAAAAAAAAAATTCTGAATTTACATAAATTACCAACATAGTGAAAAAGGCTCAATAGATAAAATGTGAAAAAACATGAACAGATAGTTGATAAAAGAGCAAATAGAATGCTAAAGAACGTGTGCAAAAATTGTCATTAAAGAAATAGAAACAGTAATTTAATCAAATATACACCAGGTATAGCCCATCAAATAAAGTTATCAAAATATGGTACAAATTGCTAATGAAGGTGTAGGAAAATAAGCATTCTCTAGCACTGATTGCTTTGTGATAGGAATCTAAATTTGTATAAGTATCGGTTGGATCGAAAGGTAGTCAGTCAAGATACTTCAAAACGTTTATACTGACTGGCCAAGCACTTAGAGTTTTGAAAACCTTCTTTGGAAATATCTAAAACAACAGAAAAGTCATTATACCTCAAAAATATTTGACGTGGTATTCTTTATAATGTCTAACAAAGAAGAATAGTTAAATATATTATGATCCATCCATAAACCAGAATGTAATGTAGCATGAAATTGTAAGAGTATTAAATAATTAGGAAAAAAATTTTTTTATAATGTCAGATTTTTAAAACTTGGGATAAGACAGGCTGTGGTGGTTCCTGCCTATTATCACAGCATTTTGGGAAGCTTAGGCAGGAGGATTGTTTGAGGTCAGGAGTTGGAGACCAGTGTGGATAACACAGCAAGACCCCATCACACTAAAAAATAAATAAAAATTAGCTAGGCATTATTGTGTGCCCTGTAATCCAACTACTGAGGAGACAGAAGCAGGAAGATCAATTAAGCCCAGGACTTTGAGGTTACAGTGAGCTATGATTGTGTCCCTGAACTTCAGCCTGAACAATGGAGTGAAACCCTGTCTATAGTAAGAAAGAAAAAAGGAAGGAAGGAACGATGTAAATTTGTATGTGTGGAGCTCAATATCACCTATAAAAATGTATTTAAGGCTGTAGAGAAATAAAAAACAAGTGTGGCTGTTTCCAGATGATGGGATTAGGAGTCATTTTATTTTAATCATTATGCTTTTCTACATTCTGCACCTATTCAGCAATAAACATTATTGGCTTTAATCATTTACTTTAAAATGTCATAAGTATGTTCTTCGAAAATGACTAGTAGCATGGTCCAATAATTAACTTTTTTTTTTTTTTGGTCTGGAGTGGTAATTGATGTGTGATGGCAATTTTTCAAAAGGTACTAGGAATTGCTATTATTTTAAAAATTTGGAAACACTTTAAAAATGATTCTAATTATTCTAGAATTGGGAATTATAATCAACTCAGTAGTTCAGGTACCTGTTGCAAGAAATAACTCGTGTCTGGTTTATTTGCATTGGAATCTTCTGATCATGTTTGCTTTTGTTGCTCAAAGTGCCTTGCAATGTTCAAGTTCTAATCTGTCTTCTCACATGCCATTTACTCAGGAGAGGGTGATTAACATTGACCTTTTGTGGCAAGGAGATGAAAGTGAGAAATATGGGACAGTCCGAAAGTTGTCACATGGGTGGAAAAAGAAAATTTGGGATTTTTTGCTTTTAAAAAAGGTCGTATAAATGGAATAAGAGTCACACAAGAGCATCTACTTAACCATGTGTTGGCAGTTGATTTCAATCTAAACAATACCATGTTTCTTTTAGAGTTTACCCCTCCAAAAGGAGTGGGGGGGAAATTAGAATTTTCCATTTTTAGAAGGGAGACCTTAGACCTACGCCATATCCCAATCTCATTTTTAAGATGCTTAGCTAAAGAAATTTCAGTGAGCTAAAAGCTCTTTTTCCATCTTTAAAAAAGCAGATCTATTTCGTCCTATACAACTCCTAGTTTTGAAATGATTGCTATGCTGTTTAAGCTTTATCTAGAATTTGACACCTTCAGTGCTGGAAGACTTGGGATAAAGATAACCATCATGTTTGATGGATTCTGTCCTATGTATCTCTGCTTCCACAGTTACAACACACAAAACTTTTTGGCCTTGAGGCGAAAGCACCCTCCGCTCTGCCTCACCGACAACCCCTGGGATCAGAGCTGGAGCTGAGTAATAAATAATGAAATTTTGCCTTCAAAATGTGTTAGCCTTCATAGAGCATGAGAATGTACACATTTTTATTTTTCTCTTTTAAATTTTAGTTCTTTCTTTTGTTCTCCAGAACCTTGTTTCATGTCATGCTCTCGGCCCTCTCTAGATGGGCTGCCCTGTAGAACTCGTTTGTCAGCCAGAGAGGGTTAAATTTTACATTGATTCCCTAAGGGGGTATCAAACAGACTGTGGAAGATGACAGTGTTTCAGAACAAACTGTGCAGTCCCAGCAAGTCTAACAGGACCTAATAACATGTACACTATGGTGGTCATAGGAACCATGGTATCCAATGCAAATGAGGAATCATAATGCCTTTACTGCTGGAAGGCGGAGGGGTCAGGCAACCATATGACACACAGCGGGCTCTTCCATGTGTTAGGGCTGATTCTATTTTATTTTCTTTTGTACTTCATTGCATTCTTTCTCATGCTCTTTTCATTCAAAGATTCAATCCCAAGACAGGATTATGATACTCCACCAGCTGTTGTGTCAGGTAGGAAAATTCTAATTCCTTTAAGACTGGATTGGAGGGGAGAGATGGAGGTGGCCTGGTTTTTTTTTTCAAACTCTTTAAAGCAGTGATTCTCAACAGAGGTGGGTGCAGGAAATTTGAATTCCAGTTTGGAAGGGGGCATATGTAGTTCAGAAACATGTACTTAATATTACAATTCAGTTATATGTCTGGAAAATAAATATGTTGCTTTTTAAATAGAAAGTAAAAACTCAAAGCCATTTTGTCTGTCAAGGATACACAGAAGATAGAGTCTGTGTTCTGTGTATCAGTGATTCTCAGTGTTAGACATGGTCATCAAATTCCTGAAAAGTGGGAAAATAATTTTATGTCTAGCAAAAGAGGGCACAGATTAATAAAAAATAGTTTGAGAAGCACTGCTTTAGAGACCAGAATTCTTCTAAATTGGAAAATCATCCCATTTGCTTGCTCAGCACCCTGCATAAGGTCTGACACATAGTAGGTGCTCGATATATTTGTTTGTTGAATGAATCAAAACTTCAAATTCGTTCCTAAAATGATTCTTTTGGATATTGAAAGAAAAACTGCCATTATTCCATTTGTACAACAAAGTGGCAGAGGTTGATTTAAAAAATATATTAGTGTCTTGAGGGTTTTAGTCAGCAATATTTAAGTTGTTTCATAAAATTTAGTAGTACAGTCTGTAATAGGATATGTCTGTGTAAAGAGGTGGATTTTTACTGTGAATTGCACAGATCTTCTTGTGCTTTAATTTTAATTTTGAATTTTAGTTTCTTGCAAGGAGTAAAATGGGCATAATATTTTTTATTTTTGTTAATTTTTTAATTAAATAAAATACTGGCAATCTGAAGAGCATGAATTCTTTGATTCTTTGCCATGTCAGAGAGCAAGGTCATAAAATTCAAAGCCAAAAATGCATTGGAAAGACAGAACAAGAAACAAAGGTTAGAAATAGCCTGAAAGAGCCCACGAAGCAGTTGAATCTGGCAACCTGATGGTGGATTTCAAGCAGGGGATGTCCTGCTTTTGGCCACTTGTTTGCCTGACCCAGCATCTGAAGGGTAATTATTTTCTAATTTCTTATAGCCTTATTTAGTTATGGTCATGGCTGAATACTCATCTTGAAACTTCAATTAATAATGTCCCATTGAGGAAAAATAAGTTAGCTTTTGGCTATGAGCCACTTTGGTCTTCTTCAGAGTCTCTGTAATAAATTGTCACTAATAAAAACATCACTTAGTTTTTTTCCCCCCAAATTTATGTCCTGTCATATCTTAACATGCTGATTTCATTGAGGATTTAGGGTCCCAGGGAAGAGATTTTCTTTCATACATGGTATTTGCATTTAACAAGAGACATCTACTCTTGATAACTTACCAATATTCATAAAAATAAAAGACACAAACTAGAACTTACCTTCAAGTAGGTTTCCTGATTTTACTTTCAAGAACATAATGGAAAAAGCAAGCAAATCATTAAAAGTACTTATTAGGTATGAGTCATAGGTCAGGCTCTGTAAGTCAATTGAGGCAGAAGATCTGGCGGAAAATCTAGGCTCAGAAGTTCTCACCTGATTGCATACACAGGGCCACGGAAAGTTCTAGATCAGATAAATGACTTGATAAAGACAGTGCTTTAAGAAACTTAATCTGAAAGTTTTATGTGGTCTTGAGCAAGAAGACATAAAAATCACATGGAACAGTTAAACACATTATGTATGATATATTGTATATAACAAAAATTCATCCCAGGATCTCAGCAGTGGAGTACAAAGGAAGGGGCTAATATAAAGCTAATGAAAAATAACATTATGGGAAATTTCAGTTACTTTCGCCTTATAAGATTTTAAGTGGGAGTTTGACCGAAGTTTCATAGACTTCTTTGGTTTACATCTAAATAGAAATAGACTTGCTTTCCTAAAATGCTTGTTAATTGGCTGGTAGGACAACTTCAGTGACTTTTGAGAAATTGAATGCCTATTTCCCAACCATTGGCCACATCAGGAAAGTGAAACCATATTGTAATATCTCCTTCCCATATCTTCCAATATGCCAATATTGGACAACACAAATAATCAAATCTTTGCCAGTGTAGGATCTAACTAAATTGCTTTAATTTATTGAAGTTCAGATAGCTGCTTGATAATTTACAGAGCTATAACTCAATTTCATTCAATCAATATTTCAACATTTATTGAATAACGTCTGAGTGCTAGACACAACTCAAGTACTGGGGATAAAAAGATGAACAGAAAATAGACCCCTGATTAAAACATCATGGTATAATATAAGACCATTATAACATTGATAACATTTATTTGTGGCGTTATTTGTGATGTTAAATGCATGAAGTAAAGAGAATCAAGAATCTAGAAAGAATATTTGAAATCCTCAGGAAGATAAATACTGTTTTTCTGTGTAATATTAAGCGATATCTTCTGAGAGTGAATGAGACAGGGCACATAGTAAGAATATAAGAAAAACAGATTTGGAAAACTATGGCATGAGAAGGCCAACTAATAATCCATAGAATTTTGAGGGGTGGTAGCGGGGGTTCGTTTGAAGCTATGGACTATGTATTTGTGTGATAAATCTATGAGGATGTTTCATTTTCTGTGGTCATGTTCAATAGCCAAGAAGGCAGACAGGTGAATTTATGCAGGTTTAAGTATTTACTATGTGAAGTGAGGGAAAAAAAGAGTGTGCAATGATGATGTTGGCAAGGAAGTAGTTGAGTGGCAAACTATGGGTTTAAGGAAGAATAAAGAAGGAAGGAAAAAGAAGGCAGTGGTGGATGAGAGGTAGAAAACAAAATGCAGAGATTAGCAGTTTCAGTGAGATGTATGGTGCAGTTAGTAAAATAAACTATTTCTTGGCAAAGTTTGAATCGCGGGAGCAGGTGGCCACAGTGGATTTGAGGTGAAAGGGACAGAAGTTAAGGGAGTTAATTAATGTGAACATAAGAAACGACAAACTAAGTGGAGTTATTTTTGTATGTTTTAGTTTTGTATTGTTTTATGTGTTCTTTGTCATTAATAAATTATACATGGCTCAATAGTATTTTACTTAGGAAGAGTTTGAGGTAAATACTTAAGCTTCAACAATGAGTTAGTCTTAAAAAAATAATAATCTGGGAAGAAAGAATTAAAGCAAAAGTGGTGATGTTCAAAAGAAAGAAGGAAGCTTGGGAAATGGGAGCATCTCTGATATATTTCTCTGGAGTTACCCCTCCTTGCCTCTGCTTCTGGTAGGCCTTACCCAGCTCATTTCAAGGAGAGGAGACCGAAAGCTGAAACTACCCTCTACATTTTCACACCGAATCAGGAATCTATTCTCTGTTTAGTGTTTCTTTTCCATAACAACTCTACCTCCTTAGAAGATCCTCTTTTAGGCAAATGTTAGTGATAAAAATATGTAAAGGCATAGTGAAATATCATTTTATATACACGGTTGGATTTTATGAAACACATATGAAAACTGAAGATCATTTGTATCAAATTTTTATCTCTGTTGTTTTGAGCTTATGTTCCTTGAATGACATCCACATGAAATCAAGCAAAAAACGACTATCACCAGATAACTAAAGTAGACTCAAAATGTATCCTCTTTTTCTAAAAACCTTTGAGTTCAGAATTTGAAGCTAGGTTTGAAAAAAAAAGAAGAAGAAGAAAATGTGACCCCCAAAATACTGAAAAGAACCTGTAGAACTTGTGGAGCGTATTTTCATTCTTTGCTCTAACCTTTTACGCACCAGCTGAATTAGGAAGTGATACGGTACAACTTCATGATGAGATTTCACAGAAAAAGTTTGCATAAATCACAATATACTGGTCAAAGAAGAAGTTTTTTCGAACCATGGAGTTGTGCTCTAACAATGAAGTTCTTCATTGTGGCACTTGGTGCAATCAAGACAAAACTCACTGTTATAAACAGCAATGCAGTTCTCACGTTGTTTTTGTTTGAGTAATGTAAGTCCGCACTGGAGAGCCTCATTAATTTGGAATTGGTGATGCCAAGCAAAGATTTAGTCGAAACCTATTTTTATGCTGCTGCTTCATATGTGAGAATCACTGTGTAAAACCATCCTCTATCATCCAAAGGAGGGAAAGGCACAGTATCTTAGCTACTATAAAGAACAAGAAGAATAAGACCATCTTTCAAGCTCTAAGCAACATTTGTTTTCATAGATACCATACACTAATTACAAATGATTTCCATCTTTTTATTAAAAATCAAGTCCATTAGTACCTCCAATTAGCCACGATTAGCCATCAAATTGTATTTATTGTAAAAGGCCTGACGCATTGTTGTGTTCCCACAAGCCACACATGAAAATCAGTTTCATTTCTTTGCTCACATACCATGCATTTATATGACTACAAAAGTGCCTTTCTTTAAATGAATTAATGGATTATTTTTCTCTGTAGTAAGTTTTTAGAGACTTTGCTCTCCTTATTCTTCATTTATTCAACTAATATTTGCAAAGCACCTACTGTGCTACAGAAAACTAAGCGTAGGTCCATTTCTTGCCCTCAAAGAACAGACTCTAACAGAGTAAAAGGTTATAAAGAACTGTCACATAACATAGCATATGACAGACATCATCGGAGTGGCCTGCAGAGCAGCACTTTGTACATGATATTAGTGCAAGTATTTGACACATAGGCTTGTGCATGCTGAGTTATTATGTTCCTGCCGGTGCATTTATTTTGTTCACTAAATTATAAAAATTGAATCATTAAGACTTTCCTTGTGGGACCGCAGTTGTTATTTATGTATTAAAGTAGGCAACTGGACTGGTCTAATATATAAACATCACTGTTATTTAGCCCAGGTTTTTAATTTTCTTTACAGAGGATGAGATAGGTGGGTATAAAATCCTATGCCTTATCTTCTATTCCAGCAAGCATTTCCTGTAATGGTCCAGATAGTAAATATTTTAGGCTTTGCAAGCCGTATAGTCTATGTCATAACTATTCACTCTGCCATTGCAGCATGAAA